GATTATGTGGACGGGTTATGTGTCATCAGTGCAGCAAATTCCTGTCATTTTTATCTGCCAGTGAGTATTTAGGGCTCAGCTCAATGAATCAGATTTTATTCGTAGTGTTTATCACTTTTCGATCACAACTTTGACATTATTCTAATATTAGTTTTAAAATTTGGTTCTTTTACAAGGCGTCATAACTTAGGAATGTTCGTTGTACGTTTGTTTCTTTTTTTACTTTGAAGGTGCGAGGTGGTGTTATCGTTCTGTATTGATTCTTTCATATTCAGGAAAGCTAACGAATCCCGCTTTGGCGGCTGAGATGCTAAGCAGTGATGTGCCTGCATCTTCAAATGCAGAAGTGTCTCCATCGCACAGTCGTCGTCTTTTGGAAATGACGCAGAAGACCACTGGAAAGGTGATCTCGTTCATTGAAGGCGCCGTTTCAAAGATGCAGACGACGGATGGCACTGAAGTCAGTCTCGGCTCTCTGCTCCAGCAGGTAGACCAACGCCGCCTCAAACCCGCATGCACGGGAAGTGTCGTGACGTACTGGTGGCTGGCTTGCACATTTTCACATTTGCGTTTGTGGTTGTCTGCGGTGTAGGTTTTCACCCTTGGTTTAAGCAAAGCTGACTCACTGATTGTGGCATCCTCGTCTTCAATCCTACTAATGTTAACGAGAGTCTCAAAGAATTGCTTTAAAGGATGCCAACGAATGTTTACGAGTTTGCGGATCGTGCATGACGGATCTAAGTAGAAGAGAGCAGATGATGGAACAGCGGAATCCACCCATACTAGCTGAACAATATGAAACATTGGATCGGATGATTGCGGAAACTTCTGCCATGGTACCAAGCTATACACGCATGGCTGATAGTATCAAGTAATCTTATAAACTTGTTCAAAACATCATTCTTGTAGTAGCATGCGCTGAAAATCTCTGTAGCGCTTCATTTTTGGGGCTCTTCTGTGTTCTAGTCTTCTTTGTGGCAACACGAGCCCACATTATAGCATCCATTCTTCGTACGGCATTTCGTCCACTCACTTTAGAATATTTTGCATATCTTATAATACAGTTTTATCCTCAGACTTTGGACAAAGAAAATTTTCTTCAAGATTTTGTAAGTATTTTTTTTGCTACGCACTCACCTTTAGTGGAAGGATTTTTATTGTTTACATTAACTTAAATTTTGTGGAAGCAAATTTGTCCCGTTCTTGATGTTAAGCAGATTTTAACACTGTTTATAGCCCTAGAGCTGATATCTTGTTTTCTGTTACATTCTCGATCTTGATTTTCTGCCTTAATGTTTTGTTTTCAGTAATGGTGAAACCATGTACACGTTAGCAGCTGCAGAACAACTCCGAAGTCGACTTCTCCACAAACAACGCGAAATTGACGGTCTCAGGTTGTTCTTTACAGAATTTCATCGAAATAGTTTATGATCTTTCATACCCTATTTTAGTAAGAAAATTGTTGATGAAGCAGAGAGCGACAAATGTGGCGTCAAAGAGGCTCAGTTGCGTAAAAATATCCGCTTTGCGTGTCTTCAAACGTTGCAGGTGAGTGATTTTTTGCTCTGTAATTACCTGGTTAATAAGATAGTTCTCAAGGGGATGGTAACATCAATGGTCTCGCTACCTACTGAGCAACAATACGAGAAGTTGGTTGAAAACCACAAAAAGGAAGTTGCTAAGCAGATTGAGGAATCTCGTAGTTTGCGCTCAGCGAATGAGAACGTCGGTGTTCGGGTTTGTCTTGATCTGTCTCC